ATAGAAAATATATGAAAGCATCTTGGCTAGAATACCAATATTTACAAGAAATATTATGATTTTCCTCATGAAGTTGGCCCACAATGATTCTCAAATGTATATTTATGTCTTATAATCATCATGAATTCTGTTTGGACTTAAAGGCACACTGCAAATTAGTGTGATCTTTCATCTTCAGTAACTTTGTAAATAACTCTTATCAGTCCTTTCTTTATATATATATATATATCCAAAGCTCCTTGTTTTTTTCTAATTCGCAAAACTGCTGCCGGTTTTCCAAGCTTTTCATTGTTTTTACGGCTAATGATGAAATTTTATTAATAATTCTTTTAATGTTGATTCTTCCATTTGGTATTGATGACAAAACCATTTTCATAATATTTACTGTTTCCAAAGCTTTTATCTTGTGTTCTGATATTAAGTTTCTCGGAGACACCATACATTTAAATGTTATCACAATTAACATCTCAGGCCAGTAGTATCACAGCCCCTCAGTATGGCTAGACGTCCGATTGCTTCAAGCCGGGATCGAAATGGCAGAAAAGCAGGGAATTTTAACGTTTTTCTCTATACTAAATACGCCAGCTGTTCGGCGAACTCAATTCAATTTACTTGATGAGTAAGGCTTAATAGCGTAGAAGCCGCTGTTTTTTTAAACCCCGCTTTCCTTAATTAAGTACAACCGGATTTCCAGAAGCATATATATATATACATATATATATATATATATACTCCATGCACATTTCATTGAATACGACAGACAAGGTGCTTTCATTTAGTTTTTTTTAATACAATTTCTCATGCGATCTAATAATATTTTTCTTTTCGAACGATAAATTATATAAACACTGTCTGAATGTTATTTTTATCCGAGCGCTTTCGGCTATACATTTAGCCATTTTCAAGGATGAAATATTTTAACTGTTAAATAAGAAATAGTTTGTTGCATGTATGTATTTATATAATGTTTTCATTTTTCAAAACACGGTCAAGATATTGTGTCCATGTTCATCGCTCGGAATAAAAGGTGGTTGGAATTTCGAACTGAACCCTTTATTTCACTCACTGGGGTAGACTGTTCTAGTTCCACGTGCCATGTTTTAATGGATGTCAGTTATCAGTTATCTCCTGTTAATTTCCCTCTGAATGTTCTCCACTGCCTTAACCGGGTATTGAACTCACATTCTTTGGGTCCTGTCATTGGATCTAACCAACTCCTTTATCAACTGTGCCATGTGTGACAAAAGCGTTGGTTAGGAGATAATGTAAATAGTGTACATAATACCGCATCTCAGAAATATAGACATATATATATATGTTAAGAAATGGACAAGGTCCGACAATTTATTTATTAAAGACATTTTTTATGTTTAACGTTGTTATTTATAGATCCAAGTATTTAAGCAAATGCTCTGTTTATGATAAACAGTATTAAATAACATTTACCGGCCTGAATGTCCGAGAAATTTTCATAGAAAATATTCGTTCTTTGACAGGATTCGAACCTGCATCCTATACGGAACCGACATTTACGCTGACGTGCCTTACCTCTGGGCCAATAAAGAACCTTTTCGATAACAGGTCAATTTACTGCTTATAAACTTCAATCTTCCATGAATCTCGTACATTGATTGAAGTTTATAAGCAGTAAATTGACCTTATATATATGGCAAAGTGGAAAAAAAAAATTTTCTTCTGGAATTTCTTCCTTTAGGATTTCAGCGGATTAAATTTGATTGTTGGGTGCGATGACAAATGCGCTCGATAAAGGGAGGCTGGGGAGTTTAATTTTATATTTTTTATCTAGTCCATTTCATTTAGGTAATTGTTCTATTCTTTTTCTTTTTCGTCAATTTTAATTAAATCGGTTAGATTTAAAAAAAAAAAAATTCAAATTTAAAAATAGAAATTTAATTAAAAATTCCTTGCATCCCTCGTTCGTGAACATGTGTAGTCGCACCAACATATATATATATATATATATATATATATATATATATATATATTATGATTTATCGTTTCCCTACTTTACATATGACACAAAGCATGGAGCACGCAGTGAGGTTGAAATAATAATAATTGATATATATATATATATATATATATATATATATATATATATATATATATATATATATAAAGAAAAAGAAAGAAATAGTAAGATATGTAATCCGGTGTTCTTATTGATATTTTTATTTTTACAAAACAGTGCTCAATGTAAATTTATAGAGCATTAATATTATAAATTGACTGATTTAAAATATGGTTATTTTTCGCTACACACTAATAACCATGTTTCAAAAATGGAAGCTAAAATCTTCAAATTTAATTTTGTAATTAAATTAAAAACATTAGTTCCATTTCATCTTCAAGCGAATTTTGAAGTAACTTATTTTTTTAAATTTACTGAGTTTTAAAGGCACAGAAAATTCATAATTCATAGTTTCCAAGGATACAGAGCGATGCAATCATTCAGATAAGGGGTGGTAGCGTGTTCATTTTATTAACTTTTATATATACATATATATATAAGTTTTTTATGATACAAAATATATATATAATTTTTTTATGGTACAAAATTTGACGATAGCTAGAAATAAGGAAAATTTATATGACATTTTAAAAAAGCTAAAAAAGAACAACCGGTTTCGTTCCAGCATTATCAATTTATATTTCTAGGATTTAAAAAATAAGCGTGTAATTTTAATTAATATTAATGATAAAGAATGGAGGGAAAAAAATGAATTTCAAGAAACTAGAGTCCAATAACATTCAGACCCAGTAAGCATTCCCTCTGTTTGCGGGATCTGATATATATAGTGCAACTTAAGTTTCGATGTTCTACCAACTCATCAGGCACGAATTATTACTTTTGATTATTTTTTAAAAAATATACTTTTAAAAGTTTAAGTGTAAAGTATTTTAAGTGGACACTGAGGTAAACACCAAGCGGTGACAGTCTTTTTCTTTCCCCAAATCAATCATCAGGTCTGACTATTGCCTTAAAACATGAAACAGACTGACGTCCCTTGCTGTTGAACTCACTGTCCACTTATATATATATATATATATATATATATATATATATATATATGTGTGTGTGTGTGTGTGTGTGTGTGTGCGTGTGTGTTTAGATTTAATACACAGGTTAATAAAGTTTGAGGATAAAAACTCAACAAAATGATAATAATGTTGTCGATAAGATATTAATAGGCCTTTAGACTAAACTGAAGCACGAAGACGAAGACTAGTGTATGCACGCTAACGCAAGCAGATGCGGTTGATAATATCTAGTTATTTGATTTATCCAACTTAACACACACACACACACACACCCAAACATATATATATATATATATATATATATATATATATATATTAAGTTAATAGGAAGGAACAATGAAATTTATAATTCAGAGTTCTTAGCATTTAGTTTTGTTTTTAAAAAAACAGTGCTCAATTATATAATAATTATATAATTGTTCATTATCAAGCGATGCTAAGATTCTTAGCATCGCTTGATAATGGAACGCAACTTTAATTTATATGATTATTTTTTTTTAACCGTGAAATATAGAGAAATTTATTTACTGAAAAAAATGTTTGAACAAAGTAACTATAAACAATTTTTTTCTATCCTCTGCCATCCGCAATGATGGAGAAAGCCTTACCTCGAACCATTGCCAGTGAGACACGCTGCAAGAGCCACTCCGTTTCGCGAGGCTCGTCCCTTAATCGAGACGCAATCGCGCCAATCCTCCGAAGGAAAGCTATCGAACGAGGGCCAATAGCCCCTGAAGTCTCCACTGCCTCAGGAGTAAAAAACAAATCTATCAGCAAGAGAAGAATATTTAACTATTTTTTTTTTTATCTCTGCGTCCCGGGCGACGGACCCCGGATCAACCGCGGACCTGATCAAATTACCGGCCGAAAATGTATCCGCACAGGTCGCATCCCAAATCAACGACTTCCCCATTTTAAAAGGGAAAATGGTAATGCCATCCGGCCGCTTTCCATCACCATGGTCGAGGCAATAAGGTTCGATTTGGGAAGGGAACCAAGCTGCACCCAAACCTCTTTTGATGATGTCGTTTATTGCTGCATGCCGGGGAAAGCGGCCGGCACTACGACGACAGGAGAGAGGATGCGAAGCAAATTCATCAATGGAAGCTCTACATCTGCATCTGTGACGCTCACATAATTTGAGTCCAAGACGGATCACGACTCCGATTCGAGTGCACTCATCATCTAGAAGGGTACCGGTAGATGAAGAGGCCACTACTCAGTTGTGAAGCAGATAGGACACAGGCGAGGCGATGCTGATCCAGAGAGAGCCTTAAATTAGTAAAACTGCCCTCGCATTTTATTTTAAATTTAAATTGAAATTAGATTAAATTGAAATTGAAATATCAGTTTTGAAACATGGGAATTTCGGTGTTGCGATGATTATATATTAAAACTATATATATATATATATATATATATATATGGATGAATAAATTTTACAATCGCGCTAATACACATATTTCTATAAGCATGTTAAAAGAAGCAAAGAGCCGTTTTTTTTGGATTTTTTTTTTCTTGCAGAAAACGGAAGCTATCATTCTGATGAGATCTTTGTGGTTGTCGCCGTCATTGCTTCCAGCCATCTTAATGGGGTTACATAGAAAGTACGGAATGGTTCCAATTCCGGCTACCCGGTGGCGGAACGAAACACTTGAGATAAGCGTCTAGTCTAAAAATTGTCCTGACAACCAGCGGGGGTGTCATTTTTGGCAGCCATCATCACCTCACAACCGCACATGTAAGAATCGGAATTGGAGATGGACGGATATAGTCGCCAGTGGTGGCGGCGGTGGGGCGGTGGGTGGAGTAAGCATAGGCTTATTTTAATGCATTTTAGTTAGGGGTAGCATTTGTGGGGGTGTCGGGGGAGCATTGTGGGAGTTGTTACTATACGGCTTCGGTTTCAGGCCAAGAATGCTGTAAGAACAAGGATATTAATGAGCAGAGATAGATAGATAGATAGATAGATAGAGAGAGAGAGGGAGATAGAGAGAGAGAGAGACAGACAGACACAGAGAGAGACAGACAGACACAACACAAATATCTATTCTTATTCTTCTTCTTCTCTCTCTCTTTATATATATATATATATAGAGAGAGAGAGAGAGAGAGAGAGAGGGAGGAGGAGGAGGAGGAACGGTGGAGTAATGGATAGTGGCTTGGATTGAGAAATCGGAGAGCCATGTTCGAATTCCACTCTAATCCAGTTACATTCATTTACGTGCTCATACCGTTGGGAAAGGTGTGAATCCAATTCTTCTCCCCCAAGCTATGGGTAAATATATTGGGTTCTATAGCCTTGGATGGCAACTGGTCTAGGAGAAGGACAACTCTGAATTCAAAACCTGTGGAGGGTCGTTTGGGAACCTTGTGGCACGTAGTGCACCAGGTCTCTGTATTCGTCCCTTCAAAAAGTGTGGATGGTCCTGCACAAAAACTTCATCACTATAATCATATCGCATGTGCAGTTGTCGGGCTGTCGGTTTCCTAGGAACTGATCTGCTTGACCCGCATACGTCGAATTCGATGGGAGAATCGAGTATATATAATGTGAGAGAATTATATATAAATGTTTATATACCAGTACAAAGATATTTTCATATTGTGTGATAATTAATAACAAAAGGGATAAAAATATAAACAAATTTATAAATAATAATCTTCACCCTTTCCGCGGCATAGATGTGTATAAACGTTTTTACCGAAGCAGGGAAGAAAAACACATCCAAAACCAAATGCTAAAAAGCCAGCTAGAGACGTGTTTATACGTCGATTTGATTTCTTTTTTTTCATAAACTTCTGAGCTGGAAACGAGTCCAATTGGGTACTTCAAGGTGCCTCTGTTCATAGTCGATCTTGATTCTGTTTATACCCTTCTGAGCTTGAAACGAGTCTAATTGTCAGCTGATACGTCTGGTAGGGATGATATCCACCGCTCGGGTACTTCAAGATGCCTCTGTACATAGTCTATATTGATTTTTTATGACTTTCTGAGCTTGAAACGAGTTGAATTGTCAACTCATACGTCTGGTAGATGTGTTATCCACCGCTCGGGTACTTCAAGGTGCCTCTGTTCATAGTTGATCTTGATTATTTTTATGCCCTTCTGAGTTTGAAACGAGTCCAATTGTCAACTCATACGTTTGGTAGAGGTGTTAGCCACTGCTAGGATACTTCAAGGTGCCTCTGTTCATAGTCGATCTTGATTCTTTTGATTTCCTTCTGAGCTTGAAACGAGTCCAACTGTCAACTCATACGTCTGGTAGAGCTGTTAGCCACCGCTCGGGTACTTCAATGTGCATCTGTTCCTAGTCGATTTTGATTTTTTTATGCCCTTCAAAGCCTGAAATGAGTCCAATTGTCAGCTGATGCGTCTGGTAGAGGTGTTAGCCACCGCTCGGGTACTTCAATGTGCCTCTGTTCATAGTCGATCTTGATTCTTTTTATGCCACTCTGAGTTTGAAACGAGTCCAACTGTCAACTCAGACGTCTGGCAGAGGTGTTAGCCACCGCTCGGGCACTTCAAGGTGCCTCTGTTCATAGTCGATCTTGATTCTTTTTATGCCCTTCTGAGCTTGAAACGAGTCCAATTGTCAACTCATACGTCTGGTAGAGGTGTTAGCCACCACTCGGGTACTTCAAGGTTCCTCTGTTCATAGTCGACCTTGATTCTTTTTATACCCTTCTTAGCTTGAAACGAGTCCAATTGTCAACTCATACGTCTGGTAGAGGTGTTAGCCACCGCTCGGATACTTCAAAGTACGCCTGTTTATTAGTTACTATATTAAAAACAAATAAAATCTCGTCTGAAAATAAAAGTCATTTCCAAAATAATTGGTGAGGAAAAGGATTCAGCATGTTCTTTCTTCATCAACGTGTACAATTACATCGGTACAAATATCGCTCCTATATATATATATATATATATATATATATATATATATATATATATATATATATATAAATTATTTTGAGGTAGAATGTATTTGTAAAGAAACAAAATGAATAAAAAAACAAGGGAAAAACTATTCTTACCCGACGTGTTTTCTTCTCAGAAGTATAAAATTTATTTGGTTGTTCGTCTTTATATAAAAGAGTAAGGATGCCATTGGTTTATCAAGACTCTTCAAATTGAGAATGTACCTGAATATTGATCAGGTGGCTGAAATGTTGGTCAAAGCATATGGAAGACTCAAAGTGTCATAATTCAAAGTTTAGCAAAAAGTGAGCGAGTAATTTTCAAAAAATACTCAACTTCCAATCACCCTGTTTCTTGTCATTCACATGCATATATATATATATATATATATATATATATATATATATATATATATATATATATATATATATACTATAAACAGAGCATTTACTTAAATATTTGTTTAACTGACTATATGAATTGTTTTATGCATGTATCTCAAGAGTTAAATGAATGTTTTATTTTAAAACACGGTCAAAACATTGCGACCGTGTTCATAGTTGATATTATTGAGTGTTGCTTTTTCTTTTTTCTTAATAGTGCTTCCATTATTTTATCATTTTGTACATATATATATTGTGTACATATATACACCACCATATATATATATATATATATATATATATATATATATATATATATATATATATATATATATATATACAGTTCAGTGTCTCTATGTATATATGTATTTAGCGATTAGTATCCCGTCAAAATTTCAGCCTATCTATTAGATTTTACTCTACTTCCATTTGCAACTATCGTTATGTCACCCTTCTTTGTCAGTTTTGCAAGTGTTAAAAATGCCAACATGACCTTGACGTGACAATAAAAATGTCTAATCTTCTCCCTTAACATTCGTGCGCTGGCGGGCGCCAATGGCGGCTTCCGTCTATTGACAGAAGCTGATGGAAAAGACGAAATTACATCATACTGTTATATCCGAAATGTCTTAATAGTTTCCGCGTCCATGCTGAAGCAATATATATATATAAATCCACATTACAACAAAAAACGTTTGCAGTTTCGCTCTTCTTTTTAATATACACACTTTTCTCTCGTTGGAACTACTATAACCTCTGCTTTACACACACACACATATATATATATATATATATATATATATATATATATATATATATATATATATATATATATATATATATGATGGTGTGTGTGCGCCTTCCGATTTCAGAACTTAAGCTATGGCCTCAATTATTAAAAAAGACAATATTAAAAATAGCACAAATATTTCAATAAAAGTTAATTAATGTTTAAGACTGGAGCAGCTAAATAATTATAGATGATATCAAAAAAATATTTTTACTTTTATCTTCATTTGAACATATCGCATTGGAGATAGATAGATAGATAGATAGATAGATAGATAGATAGATATGTCCAAAGTGTGACAGAGATAGATATGAACAAAATAGATAGATAGATAGATAGATAGATAGATAGATAGATGCTAGAATGTTTTTGCGACATTTTAAGTATAGTATTTATTGTTTATTGAAATTTTTTCATTTTAAGTATACATCATTCCTTACTTATTGAATATATGAATATATATATATATATATATATATATATATATATATATATATATATATATATATATGAGTCTTTCTTTGGTGTTGATGGCAAAATCATTTCCATAATATTCACATTTATCTTGTGCTATCTAATTCTGATATGAATATCAAGTCCTTCTTTGATTTTTGTTTCTTGGAGACAAATTGTTCAAATCTGGTAACAACAAAATTGTCCAATTGTTAGTTCAAGTTTTAATCTGTTGTATCTTAGAAATGATTAAAGATATCTTACTGGAATTCTCCGAGGTGTTTATAACACTATTGGACTCTACTTTAAACATTAAGAATATATTTAGTTCGATGTTGAAATGATGATCCCTCTTGCTATTGTGACCTCCTGATCCAGTTTTCCTTTCTACTGTTTCCTCTTTTTTTAAACTTATTCACCGTTCTCTTGATGGTTCTTGGATGGACTTTCAAGATGGAAGCCACAGTATGAAGACCTGAATGATCTTTTCCTCTCATCATTGCTCAGTTGGGAAGACATAGTGGAGCTGACACAAAATGATTTTATTCTAGCTGAATAACTCAAAGGAATTTTCAGTGATTCTTACGACTAATGGTGTCAAGATGGCTAAACGTCTTCTTTGAAAACCTGGAAAAAAAGAAACTTAATTAGTTTAGTGTTTTTTTTACATACTAAATATGTTGTGGGATGGACAATTATCCCATGTTGTTACACAATTTGAACAATTTTGCTGTTACACCCAGTACATCAACCTTCCAAATTAATAAATTATTGCTTTGTACTTTTTACAAGTCCTCTAACATGAAATATCTCGGATGTAATAACTTTATATGCAATTTGAGGCTTTTATACTTTTTCTTCTATGCATCAAAATTGTTCAGGAGTTTGGTGATCGTAGCTCTCCACAACTTCCTGTCTTTTGCAGCTCTGAGTAAATTTAGTTTTTTAGTCATCACTCCTAAACTCTGTTGTGCCACCCACGCTTGTTAGGTAGATTAGGCGCCGTTTTCCTCTTGCCGTCAATATGTGCTGTGAGTGTCACATTTTCCAAGCCTTCTTTCCTCATTGTGTCCCAGAAATTTCAACTCTCTTTTTCTAATGTTAAGCATGTGTCATTTTGTTTCAATTTTCCCTAAAACTTCGTTTTTTCAAACAAGTTCAGCCCAAGCTATTCTCAGTATCCTTCTGTAGAACCACATTTCTATCAGCTCAAGTTTCTTTTTCATCTATGGTCCGGCATTCGCTGACATACGGGAGGACTGATATTATTTCAGTACTCTTTTATTTGTTTCTAACGAAATGTTCCTGTTTCTTAATACTTTGCTTAGCTTTTGGAAGGCATCTTTCGCTACCACAAAGCGCCTTCGGATTTCGTGCCCTACTTTCCGACCCCTGTTAAAACATTTCCCAGATATTTAAATTATTGCACTCTAATCTGCGTGTTGGTCATTCTTTTTGCTTCCATAAATTAAATAACGATGTAAACTCGTCCCTCTGGCTGTGGTTGGCAACCTGTAGAGAGGGTCAACACTGAATTTAAAACTCTATGTCCCTCTGGTGCCGTTTTACTGTAACTAAGTCCTGCTCAGGGTAGTTGCAATGTTAGCCACACGTTGACCCGATTAGATATGCTGAAGATGAAAACTCATCTTAATTATCAGTTTGGCTTCATGTCGAAACGTCTCTAATTATGCCTATTGCAGTCACTCTCACAGTTGTATTATAGGAAACACGTGGAGAGCCGTAAACCCTGGCCTGGTCAAGACTTACGCGTAGTGCTGCATGCATAATATCGACTTCAGTTTTGAAGACAAGGTTTCATGTGACGTGTAATTAATTTGTTCCGTTAGAATTGCTGGCCGTAATTCCTGAACACTGACAATTCCATCATTCCTGATTTTCAAGGAGTTTTTATCGCATAATTATATACAATGAAGTTGTTTTTTTTTTCTTTCTTATTTACTCTGATGGTGAGTTAAATGGACATGGCGCCTACGGTATAAGTATCATAATTATCTAAAGTTAAACAGATATGCATAAAAAGGCGAAAATAAAGTGATTAATAAACCGAGAGGAAGAGAGAGAGAGAGAGAAAGACAGAGAGAAAGAGAGAGAGAGAGGAAGACAGAAAGAGAGGGGGGCGAAGAATGAATAGAAAGAGGGAAAATAGGGAATGAAGTTTCTATATCCGCCACACTCAAGAAATCTTGGGGCACAAATTGTTTTATTGTGTCTTTTTGTGAGTATTTTTGTTGTTGTTGGTTTTGTGTGTGTTTTGTGTATGTTTTTCTTTTGTGTTGTTTATTTTTAGTGTATTTGCTGTGTTTATTTTTTTGCTTTTTGCTTGTGTGCTTTGGGTTTTTCTATTTTTTATTGTAAAATATTTGTGTCTTTTGCACGTGTTTTTCTGTTTCTTTTCGGTGTTTTTGCGTGTTTTCTTTGTTGTTTTCTGTATTCTTTGCTCTCTTTGTTGTCTTTGTATTTTTGTTTTATGTGTTTTTATGTTTTACTACTTTTTTGTATAATTTTTGTGCTTCTTGCGTGTGTTTTTTTTCTTTTTTGCGTGTTTTTGTTTTCTTTGCATGTTTTCTGTGTTTTTCGCATGTCTTTGTGTTTTTGAATATTTTTATGTTTTTTACGTGTTTTTTGTGTGCTTTTTGTGCTTCTTTCGCGTTTTTGAGGGGTTTTTTTGCGTTTTTGTGTTTTTTGTGTGTTTTTTTTGCGTTTTCTGGGTACTTTGTGAGTTTTCTTCATGGTTTTTTGTGTGTTCTTGTGTGTTTTAGTGTTCTTTCGGCTTTTTATGAGTCTTTTTAGTTTTTTGATTTTTGTGTGTGTGTGTGCATTTGTGGAGCTTTTATGTGTTTTTTATGTGCGTATTTTTTGTGGGTTTTTTTTCCGTCAGTCTTTCATTTGTGGGCGGTTGGAATTACTGTCTTCTAGAACACACAGACACACAGACACACACTTATATTCTACAGAGAAATATATTTTCTGTATATGACACTTCCGTTAATTTTTGTATTTTGTCTTTATTTTTATTTATAACTGCATTTGCAGTAATAAATAGTCTTCCCACCTAAATAAGAAGAAAAAAAGGACAGAGAGAAAGTAAAAAAGAAAGAGAAAGAGAGAGAGAGAGAGACAAAGAGAGAAAAAGCGAATGAGAGAAAAAGAGAGAGAGAGAAAAAGAGAGAGACAGAGAGAGAAAGAGAGAAAAAGAGAGAGAAAGAGAGAAAGCGAGAGACAGAGAGAGAAAGAGAGATGGTGAAAGAGAGAGAGAAAGGAAGACACAGAGAGAGAAAGAGTGAGAGAAAGAGAGGAGAGAGAGAAAGAGAGGAGAGAGAGAAAGAGAGGAGAGAGAGAAAGAGTGAGACACAGAGAGAGGAAAAGAGAGAGAAAGAGAGAGAGAGAGAGAAATGGAATACATACAATAAAATTTGGCGGAATATTTCCCGCTGTTTTTAATATTTCAAGAATTGGTTGCGTTGACTTGATATTACTTGAAAAAAGGATCCGAAACTCTCCCCTAGGGTTACGCAGTCGTCAATGAACCTTGGTGTCAAGTGTCAATCTCATTCACTTTTTTTCTTCTTCTAGGATATTTCTCTTTTTGTTGAACATTATGAAAATATATTTCCGAAAAAATAATAATAATATCCTCATCATCAGCGCCGTGACCACGTGTAGTCGTAGGGTCGTTGCGCAGCTGAGCACCTGGCCGTATATGGATTGAGAGCCGGAGAAAGCTTCATTCACACACAGCGTATATTTGGTAAATGAACCTGGCGGAGCCCATCTTTCTCCAGGTCAAATCAATGCCGAAGTAGAAGACTCGCCTTGGTCATGGACGCGTGACTTTCCACTTCATCACCCTTCTCCCTAGTCGTTGACTTTAGTCTAGGAAAGCTTCCCCCCCAGCGAGGTCGTGTTTTCACCGAACTGGCTGCATCCATAGCTATGGAGCCCAGTTTACTCACATTCTGCTTAAACGGCCGTTCAACCCCCCCCCTGCCACAAGAAGGTTCATTTGCAGTTTGTTAGGTTGTTTTTAATCCTGGTGGGTATAGCCACCCTACTCACCAGAAACGGGTGGTGTGGATGGGATTTAATCGCCGATGACACGACCACATTAATACAGGCTTTTGTTTCTCATCCAACAGTAATCGTCTTCCAAACATTGGCTCCTCTGAATGCTTTCATCTTATAGAAGAATTGGGTCCATCCACAAAGTCTTATATGAACAGCGTTCTTAAGCGAAATTCTTCCCGTCACAGATTCCTCGCAATTATCATATCTGCTCAGTATCGTCTGTTTTTCATTAAAAAGATTTCTTGAATATTTAGGCCAGTAGACGAAAATAAATAAATAAATTTTATTTACATTAACTACATTGTTTGAACACTTGTCCTCATCTTTATTGGCATATTCATGACGTTTCGGGCAATTGTACACTCCAGCCTTCTTCAGGTGATTGGAATTTCGAGCTGAACCATTCATTTTGTCAATCGGTTTAGATCGTTCTCGTTCCACGTGCCATGCCTCTTCCGGATGTCTCACTTATTTGCCTTTAATTCAACATCTCCAAGATTTTGTTTACCACATCGCCCAATAGACAAAAGCGTTGGTTGGATCCAGTCACTTGAGCCCAAGAGTTGTGAGTTCAATACCCGGCTACTGCAGCAGTGAACAAAAATGCACCATTCAGCCCGTACCAAAGAAGCTGACGTAGACAAACGCTGTACTCATCAGTGGCTACGTAGTGCAGGGTTAAAAGCTGAAACTGAAGGTTTTATTCTTGCTGCACAGGACCAATGCTTGCTGACTAGAAATTACTAAGCACATATACTGAAAAACTATCTTAGACCAAAATGCAGATTTCTATATAAACAATTGGCCATCTTGTATCAGGTTGCACTGTACTGAAACCCACTAAATATAAAACCCGGTATGACAGTGTTGGCCAATATTTGCACTGGAAAACATGCAAAACTTACAGAAATGAAAATGCTAGAAATTGGTATGAACACAACACAGAGCCGGTTACGGAGATAAGGCATGTAACAATTTTATGGGACTTTCTAATACTCACAGACAGAACATTGAAAGGTAATCACCCAGATATCGTGATTACAGACCGCAAAAGCAAAATGTGCCTTGACGTGGCTTCCTCTGCGGATTTTAATGTATCTTTGAAGATCTTCAGAAAAGTGGAAATCTAAAAAATGTGGCACATGAGTACATCAATAATTCCAGTTGTATTTGGAGCACTCGGATTGATTGGAAAAGCTCCTGATAGACTTATTGAAGGGATCCCTGGTAGCCAATGCGTTAAAGAAATACAAAAAATTGTGCTCATAAGTACAGTCCAAATGCAAAGATCTTAAAATGGAAATCTCAAAAATGTGGCACATGGGGATATCAATAATTCTAGTTGTAGTTGGAGCCCTCGGATTGATTGAAAAAGGTTCCCATAGACTCATTAAAGGGATTCCTGGTAGCCAATGCGTTAGAAAAATACAAAAAATCTTACTCAAAAGTTCAACCCACACCTTGCGAAGAGCTTTATCTATGGAAAATATGTGATCTTAAGTGTTTTTTGTTTCTTTTTTCCTCAAAACTGCTCAGTGAAAAATGTCATGATGCCTTTTCTGACCTTAGGTCTCTGGTCGGGACCCGGAAAGAAATAAAGTAATAATAATAATAATAATAATAATAATAATAATAATAATAATAATGAACACCACCCAGACCGGATTACGGAGATAGGACCTGTTACAATTCTATGGGACTACACAATACACACTGACAGAACAATCAAAGCCAACCGCCCAGATATTGTTATTAAAAAAAAAGTGTCTCCTTATTGATATGGCAGTCCCTGCTGACTGCAATGTATCTTTGAAGATATTCAAAAAGTTGTCAAAGTACAAGGACCTTGAAATAGAAATCTCAAAAATGTGGCACATGGGAACATCAACAATCCCTGTTGTAGTTAGAGCCCTAGGACTGATTGGAAAAAATTCCAGTAGACTAATTGAAGGGATTCCTGGAAGCCCATGCCTCAAAGAGATACAAAAAAATTGTTCTCACAAGTACAGCCCACACTTTACGAAGGGCTTTATCTATGTAATATTTTTTTTTTTTTGTCAGTGGAAAGTGTCATGATGCCATTTCTAACCTTAGGTCCCTGGGCGGGACCCGGAAAGAAATGTGTAAACGCCAGAAATCAAAGAAAATAATAATAATAATAATAATAATAATAATAATAATAATAATAATAATAATAATAACCGATTGTATAGAAGGAAAATGAAAGAATAATCATCTTATGTTACATTTAGATCAAAGATCGCAGATTAACTCCTTTGACAGGAATCAGTTCTTCTTTCATGAACGACACTGAAAGTCTCTCAACTACGCGTTCATTCAGAATTCATACAAAGGTTTTTTTTTTTTCCTACAAGTTAGATTATATAATAATTTAACTGGCGTACTCATGGACGAACCAATTCGGGAAAGACTTCATTGTTTCATGGAAAACAATGACACACTTCTACTTTCTGCTTACAAGACAAACTTCAAAGCAATGAAGATTTGAAAGTAACAATGACATCAACAGCAACAACAACAACAACAACAACAACAATGACAATAATAATAATAATAATAATAATAATAATAATAATAATAATAATAAAGGATTTGTGGGTGATTGCTAGAATGTTTTTTGTCTATATAAGTATATTGATCTAACAATTATAATATTCTTTGCATTCCTGCATCTCTCTCTCTATCTATCCCCCTCTCTCTATCAGTGAATATCTGCTTCTGTGTCTGTGTGTCTCTCTCTGTGTGTGTCTATATGTCGGTTTCGATCATTTTATCTCTCGATTTGACTCTCATTGTTTTCTGTCCGTAATGTCCAACTATTATTCATTATCTATCTATCTATCTATCTATCTATCTATCTATCTATCTATCTCAGTTTGTTCATTATCTATCTATCTATCTACATCTGTTCATATCTATCTATCTGTTGATATCCGACTATATTAATACCTACCTAACTACACTACTTATCTATCTATGACGTCACACTGTACGAAATGGACAAAGTGCGACAATTATTTTAATATATTTTATTGTTATAAGTTATTTATATAGACACAAATATTTAATTAAATGCTCTGATTATATTCAACAGTATTAACAACATTTACGTATTTGTGTCTATATAAATAATGTATAACAATAAAACATCTTAAAATAATTGTCGGATTTTGTCCATTTCGTGCTGTGTGACGTCATTTGTTAACGTTTAGATCCGCTTCGTGTAGATAGGAACGTTCGAGAGAAATCGTGGAAAATTGTAGTTTAAATGCTAATCGAACGATCCTCTGTGGCTCAATCAGTTAAGGCACGTCCAGCTATATGGTGGTTCCGTGTAGGAGACAGGTTCGATTCATGTTAAAGGACGCGTAATTTCTATGAAAATTTCTTGGACATAAATGTTATCAATGTTGTTTATTATAAACAGAGCATTTAGTTAAATATTTATGCTTATATAAATAACGTATAACAAATGTTTCCCAATCTCTTCATTATCTATCTATCTATGTTTCCCAATCTCTTCACTATCTATCTATCTATCTAGCTATCTATCTATCTATCTATCTATCTATCTATAACGATCTAATCCAGTGTCTGTTTTCTGTTTATTTGTAAATTCTCAATGACAGCAGGAATAGATATGAAAATGTCGGCAAATCTCAGAGATTTTCAAGTAACTGGGATATGCATGTAGGAAAGTGAAATCGAAAAACCTAGTTCAAGTTACCTTCCTGTTCGCGCATATACTCTTAGTAAAGGCATGAACCCGTCTTTTTCTCCTCTTCACTACCTATATGTTAAATAACAGGGCAGACTTGCGTCTCTATCATCGGGTCTAATAGAAGCTCTACTCAAATCAAAACCATGGATAAGGCAACGGGAAATCGACTGACTATCTATTCAAGATACCGTGGCAATTCATATATAAGGAAAATGACTCTGCAGAGAGCCATTTTCGTCTACGTCCAGAAAGGACATGTCATTAAAAAATATGTAAAAATAAAAAAACGTTTTGAATGTTTTCAAAGCAAATCTTGACGGTACGGCTTCTTCACCATTTTACATGGTTCAGAAGCATTTAATCAAACCTGTACATAAACGCTTTGATAAGCTCCTGTATAAATGCAATAAAAAGCCTTTTATTTTTTTAAACTGTTTTTTTTTTTTAGAAATGCATGCTGTCCATTGAATTCTGCATTAAAGTACTGAAAATGTGTGAATTATACCAGAAATATGTGACATTTCACTGAAATCTAGCTTGTCTAGTACAAGAAATTAATATAAACAATTTTGTCGCCATCTTTTTTCTGTCGTCTG